TTGGTGAGATCTGGCCGCAAGAACCAATTTTCACGGCCCCCGCCGGTTGTTTTGTTGCCGCTGGCTAAAGGAACTGTCCGCTGCTGACTTTGATTCAAACATTTCAGCCCTTGGTACCAGCGGTGACCGCTAGCAAGTTTTGTGCCAGTTTCAATTTCTTTGAGCCTGTCGGCACTGTGGGTTCATGTACAAACTGAACCCGTACGGCCAGGTATAGGCTATCAGCTGGAGCCGAACCGCCTTATTGGCTGCCAGATTTTCAAGCATGCAGGCCGCGGGGAAATACAAAATTCAACGTTGACTTGACAATTCAATTCAACATGGCTGAACTCTGTACATCCTTGTGTACTACGGTCAACGGTCACCGCAAGCAGTTGCCTAGCTCATTTTCATTCTCTTTGTCATTCTGCTGAGTATGCACCTGGCCCGCAAGCCCGGAAACATGACAGGAGAGCGAAGATTACTGGATGCCCGTTCGGAAGGCATTCAGTAATCTTCGCCTCCTCAGCACAGCTCTTCTATCTTATGCTGGATTGGCAAGAGTGGAGCGCTGCCAACACGTATCTCTTGTACTTCAAATGTAGCTGACCGCTGGCCTTACACCATACCAAGTCATCCGCTGACTTCTGAAGCACATTTCAAATTTTTCGATTGTTGTTGCTCCTGCAGCACCAGATACATTACTGGCCGTGAGGGCAACATTTTCTCATATTCGTGTGCCGGTAGGGCACCGATATCGATATACAGTTCAATCTGAGAAGGCTCGGGCCGAATAATCCAGCCTGGTATCAAAGTTATTTGCAATTTTCCTTGCGGTGCGACTGTACTCGTCAAAGTTGAACTCCAGTTCAGACTCAGAAGCAGCAGCTTCAAGCCGTTGCTCACTCAAGTACTCCTTGACTTTATCTTCGAACTCCAGCTCAAGTTTGCTCAGTAAGCCTTGAATTGCTTCCCGGTGGGATAACCGAGCCGGCGGTACAAGCAATTTCTGGACTTGAACACTTAGTGCCCTTATCAGTTTGAACAGATTATTCCGGTGGGAAATTTCAATGCTTCCGTTGGCATAAGAGTCGAGGGTGGAATGAAATGTGCGTACTGACCCCCGGGATTCTTCCCAAGCGCAAGGATAATTCTGTATCACTTCCTTTCTAAACACCGTGTATGGCTTTAAATAAGAATCAAATGCTCGCCATTGTCTGCCCGTCTCCAGCACAGTATACCTGACAAGAAATTCGTTCTTTTCACCAGCAGGGGTTTTATCTATCTCCATCATCCGTTCAACGTGTTCAAGAAACTCAAGGAACTCCTCCGGGCGGGTATCATCAAAATGCGGAGCATCCCTTTCATACGCCTCCGGTACACGGTTATCATCTGAATCATAGTCGTCCGTCATCCTAGCGGTAGACAGGTTATCAAAGTGAAGGTGTTTTATTTATTTATTTATGGTTTACGGGACAAGTTTCAATAGAGGATTCCAGCGGTAACAGCAGAGAGGGGCCGGAGCAAGGCTCAACGGTAAGGTAAATGAATTTGTTTTAGACTCAAGTCAAGTGCCAGAGTATGAGGTTTGTCGAAACAAGTCCGATGATTCTGAGTTACTACGAGGACAATGTAACGGGTGTTGCACTTTGTGGCGGCAAGACCAAATATGATTCCGGAGCAAGACTCAACGGGGTGTAAGGGTTTTTGGTTTATACTCTGGTTTGGGCTACCGGAGGGGTGAATGAACCACAAAATGGCTTGCACCAACGAAGTAGTGACAATCCACAAGTCTTATTCTTGAGCAACAACTCCTGTCACCCCTCGCGGTGGGCTCCAGATGAAACGGTGCACTCGGGTGCAGCCGTGTAATCGATAGATCGGCAGGTCAGACTGGCACAGCGAGCTATCAACTCAACCAACACCAACCAAAAACCAACCAAATCTAACTAATCTCACAAACTCCAATAACCGAAGCTAATCGTGTGTGTGAGTTCGGGGTAGTGGGACAGGCGTCTCGTCCCTCAGGAGTGTTGCTTTCTTAAGTGTTATCAACAAGTGGACCGCGGACAAGGTTTATATTGAGCGCAAGTTCAATTGGGTTTCAATTCAATTCAATTCAATATCTTTATCTGAAGTCGCGGCCCCCGTAGGAAAGTTTGTATGGTTTGAGAGTACTCGACTCGAGTACAAAATATGGAGATTGTGTACTTGCAACGCTACGGTGACCACTCTTGCCACAGAGTAGCCACGGTAGACCGAAAGGTCGAGCTTTCCTTTATTTCCCAACTTTTGCTAGAGCAAAGCTCGATAGCGGCGGCAGAGAGCAAAGCTCAATCGGCGGCTAGTGGATGGAACGTACACACTCGTCCAGGCTTTCCTTTATAGATGAAACGGTGCACTGGGGTGCAGCCGTGAAATCACCAGATAGGAAGCACTAACGAGCGTAGCGAGTATAACTCAAACCAACACTCTAACTCCCAAAATCTAATCAAATCACTAACTCCAATCTCAATACTCCTGTGTGTGTGTGTTCGGGGAAGTAGGGTACGTATCACCCTTCAAGACAGTAGGTTCGCAGCGGTAAGGGGAGCGGTTGGCTTTGCTTTCACGGTAAGGCAGCGGTATCTCACGGAAGTTGTTCCCGTTGGGATTCGAGCTTCGACTTATAGGCGGCTCGTCTGAGTATAGTTCCAAAAGTAGACCGTGCAACGCTACGGTGAGTACTCCGGCCACAGAATAGTCAACCGTTAGACCGAAAGGTCGAGGTTATCCTTTATTCCCTAGCAGGGGTTATTGTCAGAGCAAAGCTCAATGACGGCGGTAAAGAGCAAAGCTCGATCTACGGCTAACACTGCGGAACGACGGAGTTTCCAACGGGCAGTGGGACTGGCTAGGCTCCTGCACTTATGATGGTCTTAAACGGCGGTGCTCACGGGACGTACACGCCTCGAATCCAATCTTAATTGCAGTTTCTTAAATCTTTTCCTATCTCTTTCTGAGTGCACTATATTCCTCCAAAATGGGGGGGGGTAGTCTACTGAAGTACATTTGGTGAAACTATGTGATATTTATACAAACTGAGGGAGCACGATGGAGATAATGAGAGCTGAAGCAGAATGGCGTGATAAGTCGTCGTTGATGGTTCCATGTGGGCTGACGGTTTTAGCGGTCCAATGGCGGTTAGAGCATTCCCAACCGCGGGCAGTTTTGACCGCGTGCCGTTGGCTCGTGATATCTTTGTCGTGATCTGGACCGAGAAGCCCTGACGGCTAGCGGCTACTCGAAGAGTTGTTCAACCGCTGGCCGCTAGGAGTCCCTCCCGTAGGCCACTATCCCATATATCTATCTCTTATCTGGTGAGGACCTCTTACTGAACGACTTACCGCCACAATTGAGGCGACGGTAGACCACTCTCAAGAGTTTTATCTCCGGGTTGAGCTCCAGCCGTTTAGCCTTCCGTAGTTCCGGTTGCCAACGGTTAGCCGCTAGGTGATTTTCCCGTCAACGGTTAGCTCGGCCATTGATCCCACAACTGCTACCGCTGAAGGTAAGCCAGCCGTTGGAGGCTTTTCCCGTAGAGTCTTATTATCTTTTATCTTGTCCGAATGTAATCCAACCGTTGGAGGTTCTTCTGAGTTCCAACCGCGGGTAGGATCGTTACCGTTGGCAGGCGTATCTGGGGTTATGATACATCACACATCGGTAGAATAGCGATGCGTCGTGATGTATCACTTATGCTAATTAGCGATCCGTCGTGATACATCACCTTACCTGCACTAGGTTTCACGCGTTTTTGGGGCGCGGGGCGCTTTGCGCATTCGGCGGCGTCGTTGATGCGTTCGCTGGCGGATTTTGATGGCGGGGGCGCTGGCCAAAATAGGTGGTATTTACACATGTTATGACCTCATGCCTTCGTCTCCTCCCTACTATTGCGCTGGCTGGCTCCTGCTCCCTCCTCCGTTCCCCCTGCCACCTGTGCACATACCCACTAAACAGCATCGTCCGCATCCAACGCCACCCTCCACGTCGCTTGATTCGACTGCAAACGGGCTCCCTACCGGAAATAAATGCTGCCCGCCGCCCCCCCAGCCCCGGCCCTCCTGGCCCATTCAGCCCCGCAGCGATGGATGCTGACCCTTCTGGCTCGTGGGCTGACTTGATTAATCAACAAACTGGCCTTCTCTGCTGCCTACTGCGTCCCCTGGACCCAAAATACCACCGGCAGCACTACCCGGCGCCCCGGCTCCTGCTGGGCGGCTTCCTGGCGCCTGTACCCCTTGCCGGCTGCTACTGAAGCTTGGGAGTGGCGATTGGGCCCCCCACCCGGCCTTCCCGCTGCCGCAGCACGCCGGCCTCCGCCGCTTTTCGCCGCCCCCGCCCCCCGCCGTCGCGTGCGCCCCGCAGCGCTCCCAGCACTGGATTTGCGGCACACCTGCCGCCACCAAGACCCCATACACGCCCCCGCAACGTCTCCCGCCCTTCCCGCTGCCGTAGCGCGCCGGCCTCCGCCGCTTTTCGCCGCCCCCGCCCCCCGCCGTCGCGTGCGCCCCGCAGCGCTCCCAGCACTGGATTTGCGGCACACCTGCCGCCACCAAGACCCCATACACGCCCCCCCAACGTCTCCCGCCCTTCCCGCTGCCGTAGCGCGCCGGACGCCGCCGCTTTTCGCCGCCCCCGCCCCCCGCCGTCGCGCGCGCCCCGCAGCGCTCCCAGCACTGGATTTGCGGCACACCTGGCGCCACCAAGACCCCATACACGTTTCCCCAACGTCTCCCGCCCTTCCCGCTGCCGTAGCGCCCGGCACCCTGGCCCCACGCACACCTCCACCACCTCATTTTAAAACACCGACCGAATCCTGCCCCCGTCCCTGAAATGAAATTCACACTTTCAAATACAACTTACCCTCTTTTACGCTGCCCGCGACAGTCCTTACTGTAGTACTTAGCACTTTTTTTTTTTTTAATTGATTGGGTTTGCCAAAGTTCCCACCTGTCCCTTCAGAAGGGTGTACTTTTATCGGCCTGGTGGTGTAGTGGTAACACGGCTTGCAGAGTTACGTCCTGGGTTTTTAACTGTCAAGAGGTCCCTCGTTCGAACCGGGGTCAAGCCATCTGTTTTTTTCCACTCTTTTTGATGAGACTTTTTGATCACCGAAAGTCTCCAAGTCCAAAATCATAATTCGCCATTTTTCCGAGGTGTTCTTTTTTCTGTCTTAAGTCATTTCATCCAATCGTTCGAAAGACAAAATCATGTTTTTGTAGCATAAGAAACGATCGAGGTACAAAGTTGACCAAAAAAAAAACTACATATGTAGGCATAACTTGAAGGCATATTCGTAAAATTGTATGAGATGCTAGCGGGGGCGACTAGTTGAATAGTGATAGTGGTGTTTGGGAATTGCGCGTTGACGACTGCACCCGGGCTTCAAGATCGTTGTCTAAATTAAAGGGAACATTACGATCAGCGCTCGGAGTGTACATCCGGACTCACCTTCGCCTTTGGCTTGCAGTCGCGGTCTTCGGCTTCGCAGTGGGCACGGCCTTCGTCTTCGGAGGAGGTCTCTGGGTGTTCGCCCTGCAAAAGAATATAAGGTCAGGCATCAAGATGCTGCAGCAAAAAAAAAAAGTCTCACCCTCTGCCACGCTTGACAAGCTCGACGCCCGCTGGCCCCCGCATGCCACCTAGCTCCCCACGCGTTGTTTTCACCTTTCCGACATACCCCTCGTCCGGACGAGCTGGCACCTTACCATCCCGACCGGAACGACGCAGCGCGGGAACGCACACCAAGTCGTGGTTGCCGTCGGGGTTGTGCATACGGGTCGTGACGCGCTTCCTCTCCGCCTCCATCGCCTGGATGCGCTTCTCCGCCTCCTTCGCCCGCTTCAGCACCGCGCGATTCCCACCCGGCTGCATGACGCAGAGCGTGACGTTCTCTCCAGCGGTCGTGGGTGCGGCGGTGGCGGAGGCGCTACCCCCGGACCCGCGCTCGCGCGCGCTCGCGCTCGGCCTCCCAGTCGAAGCCGTCGTCGCAGCAGGGGAGTCAGCGGCGGGCAGGGGGAGGGAGATGTCGTTGGTGACGTCAGTGAGTACATCCCTCTTCGCCTTTTTGACCTTTTTCTTCGCCGCCGCTGTGACCACTGCGCTCGCGGAATTCCCAGTGACCGCCGCCTTCGCAGCCTTCGCGGCGCTCGCCGCCGCCTTCGTCGGATTCGCCATTGGGCGTGACACGTACACAGGGACAGGGGGCTGGATCGAGGCAGGGGCGGGAGTCAGGACCGAAGTAGGGGTGGGGATCGGGACCGGCACAGGCGCAGGCGGCAGGGCTGCAGATGGCGGTGTTGGCACCGCAAGACCAAAGGCTGCCGGGGTCCCAGGGGATGATGGTGGCGACACAGCAGAGTCCGGCCAAGCACCGAAGATATCAGCTCTGGGGCGGGCGGCGACTTGGTCGCGGTACGCCTGCTGGTCGCGATACGCACGCACTGGGCTCGTCGCCATGATCTTGCGGAAGTCACCGAATAGGCGGGGCAGGCTCGATTGTGAGCTGCTCGCCGTGTTCCTAAAAGGTTCCAGATGTGGGGCACTCGGCCCTCCCCAGCGGAAGCCCCCGGTGTCGGCTGAGGTGGGGGATTCGCCCACGTTGCGATTGGGAGCGAATCCAGCCCCATTGAAGCACGGGCGAGGACGCGATGGTGTGGTGTGCCGCATGAGTGCGGGATCGATGACAGCAGCAGCGTACGTTGCCGTCGCAGTCATCCCACCACGCTCAATAGCTGCGGTGCGTGCTGCAGTCCCTGGGCTAGTCGGCTCAGACATCCCATCCGGCCAGCGATTGTCGACAGGTGCGGAGGCCGACGAGGCAGAAGGTAAGGTGGATGGGGAGCTGGAGGTAAGCGGTTCAGTCGCCGAGCTCGAGATGTTGTCCATGTGCGCGTCAAAGTCTGGGGAGCCAAAGATGTCGTCGCCATGGTCGTCAACGATGATGTCGTCCATGCTGCCGTCTGCGGAGCTCTCGGCAGGAGGTGTGGGGGGTAGCAGAGGGCACGGGGACAGGCGGCGGAACCGCTTTCTTCGGTTTGGACATCCGTTTTGGCGGCTGCTTGGACTTGCTACCATTCGATTTTGCCTTCTTCTTCGTAGGTTTTTCAGCCGGCGGCGTGGTTTCCTCCTGGGGGTCGAGTGGGAGTAGACCGTCCAGGGCACCTACGTCGTCCGTATTCGGCACGGGTAAGATGGGAGGACGAAGAACACCGTTTTCTGAGCAAAACTATGAGCGACAAAAAATTCAAACGAGAAATATGCTGGACATACCGAAACACCGGCGCAAGAACTCTTGGAAAGGGAGCGAGATCGCTTCGTCGAAATTTGCGTGCTGAGCCACGAAGTCGTTTCCCACTGGTGTATTTCCGTAGACCGCACTTGGTGAGGTTAGAGATCAGGATTCGGAACACTGCCACCAGTTTCCTGTTTAGGACTTACCACTTCAAGCTCAACTCGCCGTCATGGCGAGGATTCGGCCCACCCCAAATCGCAAAGCTGAACCAGCCCGTCTTGTGAGCCACCGTCTTCAAAACCTTTTCCATCACGTCGCTCGACTCGTCAATCGCTCTGGAACGAGTAGTCAATAATCATTTCTCAAACATCCATACGACCAAAATGACGAAGCAGTACGTACATCTGGCGCTGCTCAGTCTCGACCTCCGACGCCTCGCGCTCTGCGCTGGCCCCAAGATTCTCCTTCTCCAACCTAATCGCCTCCGCAATCGCCTCGCGCTCAGACTCTGGCGCCGTCTCGTACAACTCCTTGACCACCTCGTTCCGCATGCGAAGCCGTTCGCCGCGAGCCGCCTTCACGCGCGCCTCTTGAACCTCAAGATCTTCTCCGTCGACTGCCATGTGCTCCTCGTTGAGCTCGTTGTGCCCGCGCTGCGCGAGCACCTCGCGAACGTGCTCTAGGTTGCGCTGCTGGAACACCTCCGTGGTGCGGTGAACACGGCGACGTGTGGACTTCGCGGCAAAGAGGGCGTTCCCAATGGTGGACTGGGCGCTGCGGCGAGCAGACGTCGTGCGGGTGGTTTTTTTATGCTGGTAGCGGAACCAGGCTTTGATTTGCTGCGAAGCCACGCATCACAGACATGTCCCGACGCCTTAAGCAAAAAAAAACGCGACTTACGCTCTTCTTGGCCAGGATGGCGTCCTGGAGCTCCTTCCACTGCTCTGGGGTCGCGGTGGTCTTGTCGATTCCCAGCATTCCGTCCACGGGATTCTGGCGGAAGAAATCCTCGAAGATGGTGGGCCACACTTTGTTGACCTTCTTCTGCGCGTGACGGACGACATATTCCGCCATGTGTGAGGTGAGAAGCGTAAACTGGGCGGCGGTGGTCCAAGTATGGGCGGGCATATTTGCTGGGAGGGCAAGGTACGAGTTCAGGCTTGAAACACCTTAAAAGTTTGCTCATAAATTTATAATCGTGCCTTTTTTGCGGTTTTCCTGACCGAATCTGGTAAATACGCTGAGATTTCCTACCAAACATTTAACCCTTGCTTCAGATATTATTCCGGTTTCCAATTCGGTCAACACCGAGCTCAAACAATATCACAATTTGATGCCCACAAGGATGTCGTGTGTTCCATCAGGCAGCACATTGTCAGCTGGCTCACTCGGCAAGCATTTATCCGTCCCTCTTATCCGCAAACTCATCGCTCCTTCTCCGCTTTCGCCGCCTCTAAAACTTTCGCCGCCTCCACAGCATGACCGACAATTCTGCAAATGCAATTAACGCCTCCAAACCCGAGGAGGACTTGCAGGCGTTAATTGCGACGCTTGCAGGCCTGTCGCAAATGGCCCTGGCGATGGCAAAGCACTGCCTCGACGTCCAGAGTGAGTCTTGCTTCGCGTTTAGTGTATGTACTCCCGCGATCTCATTCCGACCTCCTGCAGCGAGACTTCCCGGGATCGTCAACGCCGCCGTTGCTGCGCAGGTGGCGCCCATCTGTAAGTTATCTATTATCCTTCCCAGCACCTTATCTGATCCAATATCAGCATCCATCCTCGCCTGGGTGCCTCTGGTGCCTCGCACCCCGGAGGAGCTTGAGGCCGCTCACCCCCCTCCCTCCGAAGGCTCTATCGAAAGGGCGTACCACGTCGTCACCACCGGGCGCGAGCCCGGCTTATATGACAACGTGTATGTTAAGCCTAACTCCCCTATCTCACAGCTCCTACATTAACTACCCCATGCTTCTCCAGCGAGCAGTCGGACTACCAAGTCCTCGGTGTCCCCAACAGCAAGCGCCGCAAGATCACCGGACTCGCCGCTGCGCTCGCGTACTATCGCGCCAAGTACGCGGCGCAGGAGGTCGCCAAGTGGGGCCCTCAGCCCACCGCCGACGCTGCTCCCACCGCCGAGGCTGCCCACGCCTCATCCTCTGCTGTTTAGTGGGTACGGTCCACACCTTTTTTCTGACTTTACGCCTGACTTCCTCCTGCAGCTCGCGCTCCCAGCTGACGGTTTCGGTGACGATCGGGTAGTCCAGTAGATACATGCCCGGCATCCCGTACAAATAAATGCAATTTTCCCTCGCTCTTTTTCTCTGTGCCCTCAAAACAAAAACAAAAAACAATTCCGCAAACGATGTATTCAAACCTACGTACAGATAATCACAACTCTAAGTGCCATGCGAGTCAAAGGACAATGTATCCGTCCCACGCACGACGTCGTCAAGCGCAGTCCACTGCCGATCCCCGTTAGAGGAAATAAATATGATCCCTGTGAAACCCGCTTACCGGCATGCCATCCAAAATCTCGCCCGCCAACCTTGCCCGTCTTTGCGCCTTCAAAATCCCAGTGCGCCACCGGACTATCTCGAAACCTTGCAAGTGGTCCAAAATACTCCAGTCTGCACAATGGCGCTGCAGCCAACCCGCCGCTTCCTCCGACGTTGGCACTGTGAGATCGCCCGCGTTAAGCGCTGCCACCCGCATCTGCGCCAATTGGACCGGGGTGAGGACGCCGATTGCCCCGGTCGCTCGCAGCGACTCGATTTGGATTGCGGTAAGCGGAGTGACACCCGCCGGCAAATCGGTCAATGTCGCGTCGATGAAGTTGTCTT